AAGTATGTGAGATAATGTCTTTGTTATCATCAGTTACATACATTACTCCTCACATAACTTACAGGACACAGTAGCAGGCAGCTACAAATGGAAATACTGGAAGCCCACACAATTCTCACAGTCCAGTGCAATAAATAAGCTTTAGATGTAATACCCAATTGGCAATGAATACAACACAAAGGACACTGTAGGATTTAAGTATGGAAAAAATTGATGTAAAGTGTATGCAACAAGCAGAGGATTAGAGAGGGACATGGTAGCCTAGGCCTTAGCTATAGCAAGAGTTCTGCAAAGAAATATTCCACTGAGGTCTGTTGAGAAGATGGTTTTGAATCACCTTTTGACACAAATTCTAATTTTTAAGATCAGTGCAATCTTGAGATTTAATACAGTTGTGTAAAAAGCTTGACGTAATTGAAAGGCAAGGAAAATGGGATTATGCTTGCTAAAATAAGTCACCTCAGTTAAAAAAATTTTAGTATTTTTAAAAGCCTTATAAAACATTGTTTAAGCTTGGGATTTAAAATTCTTGCTAAAGAAAAAAAATCTGAGGAATAGAAATAATGTTACTGATCTCCTGAAAATATAATTTACTGATTCATAACTCATTTGTTTAAAAACAAAGTCCAAACTCTATGTTTCCTAATGTGATACTTGGCTAAAAAGTTGCTATTATTATGAAAAAATTACTATTAATAAAATACGGACTTCCTCCCCTCCTTTTCAGAGTTAAGTGGTTTTATGTGACTCATTTACTAATACTATTTGTTAGGGAAGGCAGTGAAAGCAAAGGTTGTATAAACAATTTGCTCTTGATCGTTTTTGATGTTGAACTACTTCTCTAAGAGCCATTTAAATCTGCTGGCTCTGTGTGTTCCTCCATTTTCTCATTTTTCAGGAGTATGAGTGGATAATGAAACTACACAATGAAAAAAAAAAAACCCACCAAAAATCCACAATGTTAACAGTTAGAAATGCTTATTGCAAACGCAAATGGGAAACATGTTGTCCAATTGATTTATTGTTGTAAATATATGCAGTGGAAAGCATAAGTGTTTCTACTACATAAATTACCTTCTTCCTGTGAGGCTTTCTTCTGTGGCACTACCCCTGATATGTCACCAAGCATTCGAGCCACCAGCTCTGTTGAAGTCCATTAGAAATTCCACTTCATATAATGCATTTCACTATTACAGCAAAAGTCTTTACTCCCAAGAGTGAGCACTGTAATACATTTTTATTATGTAATTGTCCACAGCCTGGAGAGCACCTGTTAGCTAAATCTGATTTAGTGCATTGCTGCTACCACGGGTAAAATACAGTACTGTACAGTAAAGTAGTTAAAAAGAAAAGTAAGAAGTTGACTAGCATTTGTGTATGTGTGTGTGAGATTTAACAATAGTGTACTTTTGATGATTTTTTTTTCTCCTATTGAAAATCTCATTCTGTATGTAGCAAGGGCACAAATACGGATTTTTGGTTTGCATGCAATTTACCACACAAGACTTTCTATGGGACGGAAATGATAGAATAACATCAGTTAGAAATGAGAGCTCACAGATGCATACTAATACTATTGTGGTCAAAATGCATCCTACAATTGGCTTGTTATTATATCTAGCACCTTTTTAGGAAACTTGGAAAGTTTTACTACTAAATATTTCTAAATATTACTTTGTACACTTGGAATAATTGCATTTGCTCTTTCATGACACATACAAAGCATAATTACTTCATTCAGTTTAATTTTTTTAATATCATTCAAGATTCATTCTGTTAAGTTCCTCCAAGTTGTCATGCTTGAATGAAAAACTTAACATCATTCATTCTGAGTTTTCACATATTTAAGACATGTGAGCAGACGTCATTTGAGTGTAGAGATGTCAGAATAATTAGGAAGGCTGGAATACCCCTTTTTTTAAAATAAGAAAATGTTTCTGGTGGGGAATCCTTCGAACAACATAGGAGAGCTCTTTCAGGACATAATATAGGGTTCCTCTTCATGTGTTTCCATAGGTAAAAAAATAGTTACTCTATCTCTCACCTTGTGTTTATGTAAAAGGATGTTAACAAACACCAAGCAGCTATTGATTGTGCAGCTAAAAAAATAAAACCCAAACAAAAATATCACAACAACAAAAACAAACAAACAAAAAGCAAACCAACAAAGAAAAAACCCCAAAAAACCAAAAACCAAACAAAAAAAGGACAGGAGTATGTCACAGTTTAGCAAGCTCCTAAATAAAGAGAATTAAGTTTATATATTTGAGAACTCAAATTACCATTTTTTTTTCTAAATCTGTTGATCTTTATGACCTTGTTGGTGCTAAATATGGGGCTATCTGCAAGGGATGGCATAATTTTATATTCTGTGGGCTTTAAATACCAGAGAGCTTCAAAACCATTTTAATTGCTAAAACGAAAAGTTGACACACACCAAAGAATCTTTGTTTTCTTCGTGTCGATGCCTACGTAGCTTTTTTAATATCCATTTAAAACTGTTACTTAGACTTCATCCTTATTGTGGCATCCCTATATTGTCTTATATTTTAAAGACTGCAACATCACAGTTTCAGAAGGGAAATCAAGAATGAAATTGGCTTTGAATCACAGCAATATCTGGGTTTACATGATGCTTTTCCATTCCTCTTTTTCTCCCTTTGCTTCTAAGGCTACGTATTTCTTGGACTGGAAACCCAGTGGTGTTTTCTGGTGAAGCCCTTGATCTAACTGAGGACACACCTCAAAATGGAGCATGTTCAGGCACTCACCTCATGCACAGTCTCAGCGTATCCCAGCCATGGTATCACAGGTAACTTGCTTAGCAACAGTGTGTAAATGGGAATTTGTAAAAAATTAAACTAATGGCAGACTTATAACCTCTGCCTGAGCCTCTTGAAGATCTCCTTTTAACTGATAAACAGTTGTCTCTGAATTTCCAGCACACTACAGTTACAAGAGAGATCTTTCTAGAACTGATGAAGTGATGCCCAAAGTCTTCATAAATGTCCACAAATGAAAAACTTTAGAAAGCTTTTCAGCATCCTTCCAAATTTAGGATTATAATCTGTTTGTGCATGTGTGTACATGTATAAATGAAAACAAATATTCAGGAGACCTGTGTATTATTGCAAGGAATGTAATTATGAACATTCAAATGGTATTTAGGACAAAGGGAAGGAGCAGAATCCCCTCAAATGATTTGATTTTCAGAGTTCTTATTATCCACCAGTGATCACTGGAAGGATTAGCTACTCCTCAAAAAATACTGCGTTTTGTTAAACTTTTATACTCCTTGAATTTGTGGTGGGGTCTTTTTTGACATTGTTAACTGAAATAAATGCTAGAAATGTTACTTTGCATGCAATTTTATTTCTTAATTTTTTTATTTCATTTTTATTAGAGAAGTTTTTGTTCTTCTGTAGAAACCTATGAGGGATTCTGTTTGTTAGGTTCTGTAAATAAGACTGGCATGCTACTAATCTTATAGTAGTTTGATGTCAATATAATAGTGTGTGGTTTTATTTATAACCAATTAGAACTGTAAAAAACAGTCTTAATAATGTAAAAAAAATAGACTATAAAAATACTAGTTTCATTAAAATAGTTCAAAGGTAAAACCATGCTGATTTAGTTCAGAATGAATTGTGAGAGGAGAAAATAGGTCTGGCTGGGATGGAGTTAATTTTCTTCTTGGTAGCTGTATGGTCCTATGTTTTAGATTTGTGACAGAAGCAGTGGTGGTGATAAGGGTTGGTTTAGCTCTTGGTGAACAGCACTTACATAGCATCAAGGTCTTGTGCTTCTCATGCTGCCCCTGCCAGAGACTGCCTTGGGGTGCACAAGAAGTTGTAAAGGGACCCAGCCAAGATAGCTGATCCTAGAAAGAAATTAAGAACTGCCAAAAATCAAGCTAGCAAATCAGTATGGAACAAGTACAAGCAACGAAGCACTAAAGCCTCTGTAGCAATGGGAAAGAAGCTGAAGATAATTTATGTACTGGTTGTAGCCTTAATAAAATGTTGCCAGTAGGAGAGTAATATTGGTTATTAGCTAAGGTATGATGGTTAATGGAAAAACAGTGTGGCAACTGTGTCCAGCACATATCTAAACCATGTTCAGAGGTCTAGAGAACTATAATATAAAATTATAGATACAAGATTTTTTTAGAAAAATAATTAATTTTCCTATTTACAAAAAGGAGAAAACATGGTCTAGCCAAGTGAAGGTTTTTGAGCTTGACCTCAAGAGTGTGTAAAGCTTTACAAATCTTTACAGTAAAGTGAGATAAAATTCTCCATCAGTTTGTGAAATGACACTTTTCTTTAACAGTGGCTGGTTTACTAAGTGCTGCAGATGTCACTTATTCTGACCTTAACAAAGTTTCTAATTTGATAACTATATGATAAATTATTAGTTAACCTGGAGAAAAAGGTTGTTATGGCAAGAACTTTATTATGGGTAAAATATTAGAGACAGCATTAGCTTGTGTTGAAGGGGAAATTAGTAGAGAAGGGAGATCATTAATGTCATTAATGATATTAATGATATTCTTCCAGGAACAGCCTTAGGACTTATCTATAAAAAACCCCCAAACTATCAATAATTATCAACCCAAAAGTCAATGCCATTCTCTTTCTTGTATAATAAATACACTGTGAGATATCTTCTTAATCTGGTCAAGGATTGGGAAGGATTTAATTTATTCTTTATTTAATTGTTGACCTTTAATATTTTTTTCTCAAAATTCAGGAAGTTTGAGAGAAAAAACCAAGAAAACTCAGAGTGGCTCAACTGTGGAGCAGTCAGTTCCTTAGAACCTCCCAGATCACTGGCACAAGACTCAGTAATTTAATTTATGTTAAAAATATTTTTTCATACATTTTTAAATGTATAACAATGCAATTTCACATGTCAGTATTAATAGTTTACTGTTCTGTGTGGACTTACAGTGTAACCCTGATTGAGATTAATGCACTTGAGGTGGTGTCGTGCTTTAATGTTTGGACATTTTGTATACAGTGGGTTGGACAGCTGATAACAGATATAAAGAAAGTGTTGGATGATCAGTTCAAATGAATGCACAGTACCACTTTAAGGACATAATCCTTTTCCCTTTTCAGTTCAAGATCCTTGAGAACACGGAAGAAAGATTGTTTTCCGACTAAAAACGTTGAAGTGGCTGAGTAGTTTGATTCTTTCCCATTTACATTCACCATGTGTTCAGGTCAGCTTGACTTTTTTCAGTCTTTAAGCAGATGTTGCAAAGTAAATATTATGTAAGTTTTCGTACCATATACTGCAAATTCCATTCTGATGGAGGAAAGGTGGGTTATGTGTTACAGAATAACAAGTATAAAAATTATTTGTTTTAATTACTTCTATTTCTATAATTGCCAGAGTGTTACTGATATATTCAGAGTCTCCACGTGCAAAGTGAATGGAGACAGTGCATGGTAAGTATATTAATGAACTCATGAAAAAGAGGAGACATAATTAACAATATCCAGGGAGCAGGCAGAGATATCTTCAGGTGCCAGGCTAGCTAAACACATGCTGAATTGACTAATTGAATGTTGATAGATTTTAGCATGTTATTGTTAATGAAGCATAAAGGTATGCTGAGAAATGCATCTTCCCTGTCTCTCCCCCTCAAAAAAGGAAAATGAAAAAAAGTAACCATGACTGGAAAAAGAACCTGTGGAGGAGGCTAAAGTGATGGATGGTGTGAAGATGGATTTCAAAGGGAGTGGGAATACGGGACTGTCCCTGGGAGCACAGGTGGAAACTGAAGGAAATTGTACCAGCAGCACTGAAACACATTACCAGCAGCAATACATGTAACATCTGCATATAATGAGATTTAATTTTGTGTGCAAATTATTCAGAAAACCCCTGCTTTCTATTTCACCTCTAATTACAATTGCTAGAGATGCTCTTTCAGAAACAAAGAATAACAAGTGAAGAGGTTACTTCTGCCAGGTGCCTTTTTGTAATGATAAGGATTCAGATCATTAACTTTTGCATTGGATTTTGCTTTCTCATACACAGAGTTTCTCAATCCATTCCACCAGTTTTACAACAACAAGAAGTTCCAATCTTTATGGTATAGATGTATCTGAGGTGTGACGTGTTAGGAAGACAATGCACAGGATATTTAACCAAGGAAAAGGCCTTACTGTCCTCACTTTCATGGCCAGGTGAGCTGAGGAAAATAAAAAAACGATGTGCATTTATTGTGGAGGAGGCAGAGTTCTCCTTCCCGCAGATGTTCAGCTGGCATTATGTACCCATAGGAGAAAATGACGACCTGTGAGGGAGAGCTTTTGATGGAGAAAACATTGAATTTGCAATACTCTGTTCTTCAAAGTTGAACTGTGGCTTTGTACAACAGTTCTGTACAGGAAATAGTGCTGATTCACATTACCACAAGAAAAGCACTCAGAAAAAAACAGGCTCTAAGTGCCTTTTGGGTGTACCTGGGGGTGGCAGCAGCATTGTGCACACTCCCCACACAAACCACGGCCTTGTCCACTTCTCCACTGATTTGCTTCTGGGGAAAGACTTCTTACAAAATGCCTTTGTGAAGGAGTATAAAGAAGTCTATTTCTTGTTGTCTCTTCAGCTGTTTGAACATGGATGGATGCCTTGAAACCTAGGCTAAAGCACGTGCAGAAAGATGCTGTTTGCTTTTACTCTGCTGTATCAAAGTTAATCAATTTATAAGGAGGGAAATTACTCACGATCTGCTAAAAGGAAAGGATGCATAACCTGTCCAGCCCCACAGTGCTGGCTGATAATGCTTATTAACACAGGCTTATGTATCTTAAAAAAACCCCTAAAGTGTGAGCCTATGTGGTAGCACTGTTTGAACACAGGTTGTGTTTGCAAGCACGATAAAAGATTTTCATCGTCAGGATGATGACACTTTATTGTCAATTACGTATCTTTCTGCTTAGCTGAATTCCTGCTGAATTTTGTTTTAATACAGAAATGAGCTATAATCAATAACTTGTCAAATTATTCATTCCTAATAGACTAGGAAAATCCTAGCCAAAGGATTTTGACATTACTCTCTGCATAAATTATCTCAAATACATATTTCTATTATTTGACCAACTTTCTAGATTATTAAATAATGTTCAGTGAATAATTTATTCAACATTTTTCTGTCAATCTCTGAATAATTTACTCATGAATACATTATTTTTATTATTCAACCAACTATATTTCCAGCATCTGTGGCAATACCTTTGTTGTGTGAAAGCTTGGAGATCTCTGGAAAGAGAGATAAACTTTTAACTAGCATAACTTAAATTCTTTGTCATAAGCATTCAGTATCTTATTTTATATACCCAAGTGCATCATTAAGTAAATCCATTTTCATCTCTCTCTCTTCATTTAGAGAGTATTTTTCTGCAACAGTCTTTAACTCAATGATCCCTACTCTTTTTATTGAAAACCTTGCACTGCAGCTATCTTGCCTCCCCTTGTTTATTCAAGTCTTCAACAAAATTCAGAAAACTTGAGTTACTTTAATTTGTGTGCTGAAGATATATGATGAGGAAAAGATTTTCACTACTTGCCTGTTTCTGTTAACCCAGGTATTTTGAACATAATATCTACATAAATACATACTGAATAAACACAGGTCTGTGACACACAAATGCAAGTGAGAAGGAACTAGCTGTGAAAAAAAGCATTCCTGACAGAGCAAGAGAAGTGAGAGAAGTGCAAGGAAAGACTGAAGAAGCCGACAGAAGGTGTGTTGTGGAATTTCTGTATCTATTTCCCAGATAGAAAAATGTTCCAAGCATCTGTACTGGAGCAATGATGAAGTGAAATGGCTTGAAGATTAACAATCCTGCCCCCTCCTGCAGCATCCATTTTGCAATTCCCATCCTGGGGGTGAGAACACCAGGTCAAATCACAGAGCTCATGACTGCAGCACAGTGACACCTACTCCTCTGTCCTCCTGAGTCTGAGTGGGAAGCCAAGAATTGCTTTGGTTACTCTGCAGCTCAAACAGTATTTTGTTATTTCACTACCTAGCCATTTGGGCTGGAAAGTAATTTTGGCTATGTGATGCATGGCTCTCAAGAGTGTGTAGCACGGATAGCTACAGCTAGTAAAGGCAAACTGGAGGGGAAGGGTAGTATCTGAAACCATCCAAATGCTGTTTCAGTTCCAGTTTAGCAATTACTTTGAAAATAATCTGGTCCAGAGACCAGAGCCAGCACAGATTGTGGTGCTCTGGACATGAATAAGAAGAGCAATATATCTTCATTTCTAGCAGAAAGTTCTATTGAGTTTGAAACTATATCCACTGGTGCATAAAGAGGCATAGCATCAGTTTAAGCCTATTCCACCTCATTCACACATTTAGGAAGGCAGGTCTCGAATTTAACTTGCAGACTGCCAAGGACCGTAAGTTTGGCTAACTGCCAAAGGTAAGTCGCTGGTACTTTCACTTCTGACAGCAAAGATGCTTGGTTTTCAGGCATGCTCAAAAGCAGCCTGGTTCAAATACATGTGTACCTAAACCCAGAATTTTAGTGGCAATTGAGTGCTTTCAGGGTCACATTTGCAGCTCTAAACAGCATACTGCATACCGCCTTGTTACTAGAATGCTACTATTGCCTTCATGTCTCTTGCAGGCAAAAGAACTAAGGACTGACCTGACAAGTTTGAATCACAACTGGATTTTAGGAGTTAAAGTAGGTCCACAATTGAAGGTGACTGGAGCAAAACCTGGAGCTGCTGTTGTGTGTTTGAAGCCTGATGGCAGACCTGTATTTTCTTTTAACATGGAAGGGAGGTTCTTTTAACATGCAGTCACACCGTTGCTTGGCTTAGCTTGAGGGATATGTTCCAGTAAAGGCCTTGGGATTATTATGGGTATTAACAAATTTGAGCCTTTCTACTTGCTATTAAGGTGTATGGGATGCTCTGTCTCGAAAAAGAAGAAGCAGGAGCTGTATTTGAGAGAAATGAGGGAAACTGTCACTGTTATTTCTGTTTTAATCCATTGGCAGGCTAGTAGAAGCTGTATAAAAATTCAGGAATCAAGAACTGCTGTAGAACAGGCTAAAAACTTCAACAGCTTGTAGGGTAGGATAGCCACAGGTTTGGTGACCAGGCAAAGCACCCTGATCTGTGCTATGGAGGCAACAAAAGTGTGGAAAACAAGGCCTGAGAGGCATGACAGAGCGCAGCGAAGAATCTCCTTATGGCCTATGCTGGAAATAGGTACAGAAAAATGAAGAAGAAACGAAAGACAAGCCCTGCTGTTGCAGTTTGTCCATAAAGAGGATTCTTGGAATCATTATTAGCTCGTGTGTGGTACTAAAAAAAGGACAAGTATGCTCATGTTTTTATTCACCAAATGGGATTTCCTTTTATGTTTCCATAACATGTATCTGATTCTGTAGAATATATTTTTTATTCACCCACTCTCTGTTCTATTGTTTGGGGATTTTTTCACATTTGCTTTAATTACATCCTAACTTTTGTCATACTGTAACACTTAGTTCTTGTTTCCACCTTGGTTTATTTTAATTCCTAATGCCCCCAAGGTCATGAAGTCCATTTATTCAATTATTCATGGAACCATTGGATAGAGAAGCTGCATACTTTTTAGTTCCAACTGCTTGCAAGTTAAAAATTAAGAACTGCTTCGAACTGAACTCAGGACCTCCTGCTTCTATTATATCTATAGCGTCTTCTGTTCTATCTATAGCTTCAGCTATGGGAAAGAAGTAATGGAATTTTACCTAGTAGGAAAAAAGAACTGTTCCAGAATGAAGTAAAGAAATAGTTATTTATTTTATTTTATTTTATTAGCCCCTAGTGGCCAGTTTTTCAGAATGGTCTGTCTGAATAATGGTTAAAAAAAATTAGAAAATCAACATTCTCCTTCCTACTATTATTGTTCAGCATCTCGCTACTATGACTTTGTTCATCTTCCTTATAAGGAAAACTATAAAAGCTAATCTTAATACTGGATTTTACAATGTTTACTGAGCTGCTTTTTAAAAATTTTCTGAGCTTGTAAAAGTATAATTATCGTATCCTAATAATTATAACAGACGACATTTCTCTTCCTCTTCACAGTGTTTGATCTAAACTGAAAATTTCTGATCTTCTTGTCAAAGAGAGAGCTGTTTTCTTGGGAATATTTTGAACTTTGATGAAAGTTTTATGACACTTCCAACAAAACATGCTGCTCGTTAAAGTTTTATATAGAGAGAGCTCTATCTGCATTGTTTTGGAATTGTAAATATCACATAATTGTCATCAATGAGCAGCTGATGAAATACCTGTTCCCAGAAGCTTGTATTTGCAGACAGGAGTTTGGTCACAGACCCATAGATGCTTTTGCAGTCCCAGAGAGCCAAGACAAGGCTCTTTTTGTTCTGTCACGGTGATGGTCCCAAAAGTCAAACAATGATGAAATCGATGATTTATTTATAAGGTTTTGCAAGGCATTTGCAGAGGAAACAAATTTTGTAGTCTTTAAAAATCTTATTCATTCTTTCTCTTTGTCCCAAGAGGTTCCGGGAGATTAGTGTCCCATTAGTTTTCCTTCATCCAGTTTTTATGAGTTGAAACTTACACATCTGTCTTTGGATAGTAAGGGATGGCTACGGTTCCTCAGTGATATGAACATTAGCTGCAGCACTGTTTTATCGCAGGACATCTAGCTCACACAACTGCAGCTGACACAAATGCTAATTCTCCTTAATATTTAAGCCTCGGGGAGTCTTTCTAAAACAAACAGATGATAAGACTGTAAATCTGTATATATATCTGTTTTGTAAGATTTCAAAAAACTTACTTGGCACATGTTTGTTTCAAATCGCTTGGCATTTATTGTAGTTTTTCTGATAATTCTGGAGAGAAAATACCCCGTTTAATGAAACATTGTTCCTTTTCAGAAGCACTTGGGTAATTTGACTCCCAGACAGCACGAGGTTTTATCTTGTCATTATGAAGACTACATGAAGATATAAAGATCTTACTCAGACAAATTGGTTTTTTTTAAAGAGACAGCCTAATTAAAATTAGAACATTATTATTTAATATTGTCTAATTAGAACAGATGCCATTTTTCTTCCCTTCCAGCTACATGAGGAATACCTGTTTCCCTTCTAGCTCTGGGGGATGTGCACACACAGAGAAAGCAGATCTCCTCTCTCAAGGGCTATGTACACCGTGCAAAACCCACACTTCAAGGTGAATTAAATGGAAGCTGGAGTATTTTACCTCAGATGGGATGCACACTTCAGGTACTGACAAGTGTTATTTTTCCTGAATCACGTCCCAAAGGTGTGGTTTTTGTCTGAGATGACATTGTAGGTGACCTAGGGAGATTGTGCCTGAATTTGGCTAAGTTCACTGGCGAGAGTCTGGTGGTGTGAATACCTCTTTCAGTCATAAAAGTAGAACATAGGTGTTCATCTAAATTGCAGTGCTGGCAGCGCTGCAAAATGATGATAATCACAATATAGTTAGAATCCATATCATGAGAAAGTTATGTATACAAAAGCATTAGAGTGACAATAAACTTGAGAAAGACAGATTTAATAAAACGAGGGAGCTCACAAAAAATGCCCCAAGGAAAAGTAAACTCCTTGGATGTGGCATTTATTCTACTTAAGGAAACAGTAATAGCGTCTCGGGAGGTGTTGTGTAGCTGAACAAAATGAGAATAGGAAAAACTTACGTAGCTAAATAAAAAATTTCAAATGGTTGAGCCAAGCAGAGATACTTCAGAAATCTGATCTGCTCTGGCTAATAAATAGGAAAATAACTACAGTAGTATTTATGAGGAACACAAGAAAGGTCAAAACATATTTCCAAAGTAACTAATGAAATGCATAAAAAGAAACAAAGTCTATCTTTAAGTACCGATTAAAAATAGATAAAAATGCAAGAATTTATGGATAAAACACTATTTTGCTAATAAAGGTGACATCAGAGGTTGTCAGAAAAAAGGTAAGGAAACAAAATGGAAATCAGGGAGGACGGATGCTAGGCATAAAGTTACTCTGACTGAATTTAGTTATTAAATGTCTGAACATACAACAAAACACCCAGTCTCTTACCAATACAGAGGACTGAAGAAATTCCACTGTGTATGTGCTCAGTAGATTTTTTTAACCTGCAAAGTTAGTTTACAGCTTTCCTGGATAAATTAATTATTGCTAAAACACAATCATAGAAGGTCTGTAAAATCATAGTGGAAAAGGTCTAACCAGGATAGTGTTTTGGAAACAGAAATTGTGCTTTAGTAATTGTTCAGTATTTTTTTGCATTTGTAGAGGATCTAGGAGAGCTGAATGAATTTGAGAAGTAACTGAGGAAGTTATGCGGTCATGGGTAAAAGGTTAGTAAAATCTCTGTACCAGAGGCACATCACACATAACAAGGGACTTGGACTTTTAAATGCCTATGACAAAGTGGGCAAATGCTTTGAAGCAAGCCAACCAAACAGAAGACACTGCCTATAAAAAAAAATAAATAGAGATATACAGCATTGTACAGTAATAATTGATTTCAGATGTGAATGACAGGAAAAACAGGGCATGTGAGTGTTCAGGGAGAAGACAATCAGGTCACAAGGCATGAAGGGTTGGCCAGTGAAGGTATCTCAGTGAACCAAGCCCAGTGAAGGTAATTTAGAAGAGCTCTTTTAGCAACTAGATAGGGTAACACAAGGGAAAACACAGTCTGAATGTAAAGCAATACGCACAAGATTGGCAGATTACAGAACAACTTCTAGCCTTCCAAACGGACTCAGCTCAGTTAGCTTGCTAACTGAACCTAATAAAAAAATCCTTTGCTGAAAGCAGCTTCAGGATAAACAAACAAACAAAATATTAGAATGCATGAAGGCAGAATAGAAGAAAATACTGAGGAAAACATTATAATGTATGTCTGTAAATGAGTGGTGAAGGTTTATTTGAGTTATAGTGCTCGTCTCTCTAAATATTGAAAATTATTTGACTCACTGAAACATTCTCTTTTATGAAAAGATTTTGAAAAAACTGATAGTACTATTTTAGAGAAGAAATAAACAGTGCAGTTGGCAGAAAGGTGGCTCAGAATTCATTTGATTATTTAAGTGCTTAAATACTGAATTAGAAATGAAATATCTATACCACAAATGTTTTTGCAGTAAATACTGTAAAACTCATTTTAGAAACACAAATGTGTTTCCAATATGACAAATGATCCTGGGAGTTAATAGCTTTCTTATAATGGTCTGTAACTTAAATAAGGAAATTCTTGCCTCTTCTTTTCCTTAAATTTGGTGTGCCTGAAGCATCCACTTACTAACAGAAAGGCTGAGATTTATAAGTACAGAAAAACTCCTGCAGTTGCAGTACCATAGCCCTTGATAGGACCATTTTGTATTTGGTAAGATTGGGGCCACAGAAATATGAGAGGCAAATTTTTTTTAGCCTTAGCTTATAGGACATAAGACTATTAATGAATGTCACACAGGAGTCTGCATGAATCATGTTTTACCTTCTGGACAGGTGATCTAGGCATTGCTATTGGTAATTATTATAGATGTCTACTTCTAATGAAGCACAAGGTTAAAAAAAGGTAAGTGAATTAAAATCTAAGGATGCAGTGAAATATCATTCAAGGACTTTAATACCTAAATATTAATATTTTTTTTAATTAGTTCTCTCTTGAGTGAAGTCTCTCTCACTGATATGATACACTACCACTATAGTTGATGGGCTTGGCCTTGTCCAGCAGCAGGTCTGTCTGAAAGCTGGCTGGCATTGGCTCTGTCAGACACAGGAAAAGCTTTTGGCAGCTTATCACAGAAGCCACCCCTCCAGCACTGCCCCCAGGTACACAGACCTTGCCACATAAACACAATACAGCATATGCACACACTCACATAACATTTTTTAATACAAATACAATTATTTGACACTTGTAATGGTCAAAAATAAGGAAAAAAATCCTGAGTTGTATCGAAAAATGTAAATGTTTTATGTCCATGTCCTCTCTTTTGTTATCTTTTTCTCTAAGGTATACTAGGAACAATCTTCTAATCTTTCTGTGCCCACAAGTCCCATCCATGGGAGTTAGGGATGGTTAGCTAAATCAGGTACAGTCTTGCTTCAAGGAAGGCTTGTCCCCTCAGTCTGAAGGGCTTATTGGAAAAAGAAATGAGGAGTTACTTAACTCCTCCAGCTCACTATTGTAATTAAAAAAATGTAAGGTTTCAAAAAGTCAAGTTGAAGTGCTATGAGCTATGTTTGCTTGCCAAATGAAGCTAAAATAAACACTATCTGCCTTGTTTCAAAGGACTGACACAACCTTTGCATTCTCTCTCTGTGACCTTTTCCAAACTCCCAGTGATCTCGGCTAAGCAACTCCCTTATCTTGTATCATTCTGTATCTGCAGCTTTGGTCTTGATTGACTAAAAGATGAGGATGCAAAAATACTCCTCTATAAATATAACACAATGGGTGTGTCCCAAATGAGAAAAAAGGTTAGTTTCATAAAAATGGAAAAAGTAGAAGTAAAGGAGGATGAAATACCATGTTACAGCCTTTTAGCCTAGAATGTGAAGTTTATAGATATCTGCTGTGGCTCAGTGGAACTTGGGCATTGATGCTGCAATGTTTCCAAAGCATTCTTTGTAGAAAATCCACATGCAAGAGAGATGTGGGATGAAATGGTGATATAAACTGAAATTTGATACTCAAAAACTGCTCCTCTCTACATTTAGGCATCAAAATAATGGTTTTATTTTCAGAATTGTTGAGCATCTGCTTGACTAAATAGAAATAATATTTTGAAATACCACTGAAATCAAAACAGCGAGTTAAGCTTGCAAGTTAAGAGAAACAAAGTAGGGATGTTCAACCTCTGTTTAAGAGCATGGCATCCAGTATAGCCAGTATATTTTCCTACCCATTTCTAATGCTTAATGTCTAGTGAGACTGCCCATTGGTAGTCCATATGACCCTCCTTGTATCCCACACATTTTTATATGAAGTGCATATGTAAAACAATTTACAATTTGCTTCAACATAAACAAATTTTATTATCATTTCAGTATGATAAAATAGAAGCTAACACTTGTACAATTTTTAATGTAATTCAAAGTGAAGAAAGCTTGTCGGTATTTACTTGGGACTAAGTTCTACAGAAATCAGATTGCAGTTTCACTGTTGAAAATTACTTTGAGTGAATTTCTGAAGGAAACTTGAGTTAGGATTTGATTTGAAACAATGAAGTCTTTTAATTCTTGTAAGTATCACAGTGGCTAAATCGCTTCATCCCCTAGCTACCCCCCTGCCACCTTCTTTTCCCCCACAGGAATGTGATTTGGGTAAATCACTTCATACCACAAGGACACACAGATTTGGGATCTCTCACTTCTGTGCTGAGTCCAGAACTGCCAGATTCCTTCCATACTACAAATGCAAAGTCCATGCTGAGGGATATATCATGAAGAATGTGACTAAAGTAGACATGTTTTTCTATGTATCCTTTGAAATCAATTTACCTTTTAATATCAGGACTTCTTGTCACTGCTGTCTGCTGTGCACCTAATATGCTGAAAAGGTATTTGACGATGTCCAGTTTAAAACTAGTTGGCATAGACAAATTCATCAGAATTTGCCATTGTAATTAATTGTAATTTTAAATAATTTTACTTGAATGGGCATGTGTATATAGTATAGAACTGTGATTTTGGAAGTAGATCAGACTGGTTAGTATATTATACCCATCTGTTTGCAGTGAAATGACCAAAACTCTGGCTGTGCCAGAACATGCACAGTTCCCCCTTGAAACACATGCCTAATTTCCCTTTCAGCTGGAGCCAGAAAATAAGAGTTAGGCCTGATACATGTCCCAAGCCCATCTGATTATAAAGTCAGAGTATGATCAGAAGATGGAACCAGCCTCTCAGAGGTTATAAGGAATTGTCCAGTGACATAGTTTTTGCCTCTATGGACCATCTATATCTGCTTATTTAAGTTTCTTTTGGGGATTGCTGCTAATGTCAGTGGATATCTGAGCCTTTTTAAAAAGATAATATGATTTCATACAAAACCAGCTCCTCTTGCTGAGGAAATCATGGGCCAGTGATAGCTTGAAATTAATGCCACCACAGTGTTATCTGATTATGCACAAGGGTGCTTCTTTTACTGGTAATTCCAACCTTTCTGCTGTTGGGAAGGAGACCCCTGAGTTAGAAGTTTATTCAGAAGGGCCCAGGAGATTAGATTTTAATGTCAT